AAAAAATTGGAATAAGAATAAAAAGTTAAGTCTTGTGGTGCAAGACTTAAGTACAAAGAATTGATGGACAGTGTACCCGGGGGGTAGCTTATCCGAGGGGTTATTATGAGAATAACCTAGAGAGAAGTCAGAGCAAACAAGTAGGAGAGAGAGTCGATTGTATTAATGAACTCGAGATGTTTTGGTCCTTTATAATGGGAAAAGGGGGAGAAGAGAGGTACTTCTTACGCTCGTCGAAGCAAACAAGTAGGAGAGAGAGTCGATTGTATTAATGAACTCGAGATGTTCAAGTCGGTGTAGTCCACACACATGCGAAAGGTAGGGGGCTTCTGCGCAAGAACCACATTGGCCAACCATGAGAGGTATTTCACCTCCCGTATGTGTTTGATGGAGAGGAGCATTGCAACCTCTTTCTTTACAAAATCCCTTCTCTCGGCCGAGAGGAGCCTTCTTCTTTGTTGCACTGGCTTGGCCGAAGGGTCCACCACCAGGCGGTGAGTGATGACCCTTCGGTCGATCCCCGGCATGTCCTCCGCCCCCATGCAAAAACAACGGAGTAGGCGCGGAGGGCTTCGGTGATGCCGGTCTTCAGGTCTTCGGGGAGCTTGGCTCCGATCTTCAAGATTCTCTCCGGCTTGGCCGGATCGAGTACAAAGTCTTCGGTGTCCTCAGCAGGCTCAGCCCTCGGCCTGCCTTCTTCCTTTACTAGGGCGTTGGTAGTGATAGTATCAATGCGGAGTTCAGTCTTACTAACCTTCCTAGTGAGCTGAATGTAGCAAGCACGGGAGATCTTTTGATTCCCCCTTGAGTAACCGATGCCGGTGGGTGTGGGGAATTTGAGGCAGAGGTGCCTCATGGAGATGACGGCTTCTAAATCCTCGAGGGCGGGCCGGCCGAGGATGTTGTTGTGTGCGCAGTCGAGGTTGACGACGACAAATTCCACTTCGAGCTTGGCTCCATGGGATCCGTCGCCAAATTCAACCATCAGGGAGATTATACCTTCGGCATCGATGCTATCCCCTGTGAATCCGGAGAGGGGTGTTTTGATGTGCCGAAGGGATCCCATATCAAGTTCCAATTCCCGGAAGGTGCTGAGATACATCACGTTGACAGAACTCCCCGTGTCAACATAAGTCCGGAGGATGATGGCGTTATTGATCTCCGTGCGGATGACGAGGGTATCCCTGTGAGGAAGGGAACCCGGGGGCAGATCCGCATCCGTGAAATAGATAGGATCCGCCCTCGGCCTCTTGGTTGGGGGCATGTGGCTGACTTCCCCAACGTAAAGGGATTGAGCCCACTTCTTCCGTTGGCTCGTGGAGTCGCCTCCGGTGTTACCGCCGTTGATCATGTGAATGTAGCACTTGTATTGTTGTTGGGAGTCCTCCTCCTCACTGAGGTTCTCAATCTCACGCTTCCTCCCTTGTGGATTTCCCAAGGGGATGGTGTTCGGGTTAACCCATTTGTTGGCCTTCGGCGGGGGCCCCTGGTGATGAGGGGTTCCCTGAGGATGAGGGCCCCTGACGAATTGGGACAAATGGCCCGCTTGTATCAACCTCTCGATGGCCGTTTTTAACTGATGACAATCATCAGTCTTGTGCCCATGGTGGTGGTGGAAACGGCAATAAGGTTCATTAGGGCTGATGGCATATACCTCGAGGGGTGCGCGAGAATCACGCTCCACAAGGCCTCTTTCTTCCGCATAATCCAGAATAGTGCTGATGGGATGTGTCAGGGGAGTGCGTGGGTGCTCCAGGAGGACGGGTTGCGCCCATGCCTTCGGGTTGTTCTTGTAACCGCCCCCGGGTCTGGCTTGGCCATTCCGGGGTCGATCACTATATTGCGTTTCACGGTTCGCCGGAGGGGGTGGCCCCCCGGGGCGATTCCTGCCTTCGTGTTTCTGAGAAGGCTCCGGATTGCGGTGATCCTTCTCGATCTCTTCGGCCTCGGCGTATCGGTCCCCCCGCTGGAGGGCTTTTGTATAATCGCAGGGGGGGGGGATCAGTAATAAGGCTCCTAGAGAAATTACCGTTGCGGAGGACGGTGTGGAAGAGGGCCATCAAGGTTCTGTCGTCGGCTCCGTCGACTTCGATGGAGGTCTGCCTCCAGCATTCAAGGAAGTTCCGAAGGGTCTCCTCCTTCTCTTGCCTTACGTTCAGGAGGTGGGAGAAATGTTTCTTTTACCGGTGCCTCCCGGCGAATTGTGTGAGGAATCGGTGGGCAAGTTCCTGCCATGAATCTATGCTGCCCTCGGGCAACCGGTTGAACCATTCATACGCTGGCCCCTCTTTGGCGAAAAGGAACCAACGGCATAAATATTCATCTGATGCCCCCATCATCATCATGCTGTTTTGATACCTGCTGTAATGTTCTTGGGGATCTGTCTTCCCCTCATATGGTTTGATGGGTTGTCCTCGGTACTTTCCGGGGATCTGAGCAGTCAGCACCCTTGGGGTGAAGGGAGTCTTTGTGCGGAGTTGGATGAGGGGTTCGCCTGAGCCTTCGGCGAGTTTGCGTTTCATCTCCTCCATTTGTGCTAGAATGGCAGCATATTTTGGATCTGCCTCCAATGTCGAAGCGGGAGGCGTTTGGCGTGCCTCCTTCTCCTCCAGCTGGCGTCGGAGGGCCTCGATGATTTCATCTTTGTGACCCCTCGGGGTTGCCCCCTGGGATTTCACCCTGAAGGATTGGGCGTGGTTGATTTGATGTCTGGCATCATCTGCGTGGAGGATGCCCTTGCCTTTATCTCGAGGGGGAGATCTCTCCTCGGCCCCAGAGACGGAGCCTCCACTCTCCTGAGGCCTGCTGATCGCCTTGCCACCGAGGCGGTCTTGGACCCCTCGGCGTTCAGGAGCTACTCCCAACCTCTCGATGGCAGAGGTTCGGGGCTTCTCTTTGTTCACGGGCCGCTTGTCCTTGGATTGGGCCTCTTGGGAGGCGGTGTCCTACGCCATGAACCCCTCGGCGTTGCCAATCCCCATGGTGGGATTGTTGAACAGAGGAGGGGGCGGCGGAAAATGGACAGTGTTTTCTCCGAAATAGGGTTGGAGGGGTGCCTGTGGAACGAAGGCACCAGAATTCATTGCCATATTTTGGACGAAGGCCGCAAAGGCGGCCTGAAGGTCGATGGTTGGAGCCAAAGGGGGAACTTGGTTCTCACTTCGGTCCTTCCTTCGGTTATCAAGGCCGATACATGCATCTGGGGCATCCTTCTGCAGCTGCTGACGGAGGTCAGTAGCGGCCTGCTCCAATTCGAGGATGGTACCGCCCTCGGGCACCAAGAGCCTATTGGAGGCTTCGGCCCCGTTGGTTTCGCCGGGGGCTACGTGGTTTTCCTCGAGGGTTTTGGACTGACCATGAGTTCTTCCCATTCTGGTAGGTGCTTTTGTCTGGTGAAGGGGAGGGTTTCTCACTTGATTGTTCGAACTCTCAACGAGAGCACCAAATGATGGACGGTGTACCCGGGGGTAGCTTATCTGAGGGGTTATTATGAGAATAACCTAGAGAAAAGTCAGAGCAAACAAGTAGGAGAGAGAGTCAATTGTATTAATGGGGGTGCTATTTATGAGATGTTCTGGTCCTTTACAATGGGAAAAGGGGGTGCTATTTATAGCAGCAATAAATGCGATGAGAGTACACGTGGCGACAATCTAACGGCAGAGGGCTCACCTCAATCGGGGTGGCACTGACACTCGCATGTGCACCGCATTAAAGGCGGTGGATGGATGTGACGCCGCATTAATTGCGGTGGTTGCTTGTCTCCAAAGGGAATCTTCGATGATTGAGCTATTTAGCCGAAGGCTCTCCCAGCGGCCGAGGGCTCTGTGCAGCCGAAGGCTCTGTGTAGCCGAAGGCTTCCCTTCCGCCGAAGGCATGATAGTGCCGAAGGCTCCTGATTTCTGCCATTTTCTCCCAGCTGCTTAGTGCGCTTAAATCTGGCTGCCCTGTGTGATTTGGAGCCCTCGGCCAAGGAGGCCGAAGGCACCCCTATGTGTATTGTGGGCTTCTTGACACTTGGGCCGCTGTATTTGGGCCCTGTGTGTGTATTGGACTCATTGGGCCTGTGTAGGAGAAGTAGGAGTCTGTGGGCCGGGGGTCCCTAGGCCATATACTCCATCAAGAATAAAATCAATAAAAACTAATGGCCAATGATAATTTGATTTGGTAAATACGTAATAATTTGGTTTGATGATACGTTTGTTGTTTTAGAAACATTACTTGGGTAGAAAGTCTACGTTTTTTGTCAAATATATACTCCCTTTGTCCCACTATAATTATCTCATTTTTCTTTTATGTCCATCCCACTAAATTTGTCCTGGTAATATTTGTGTGTCTCTAATTTACTCTTACTTTATCATGGGATTTAAGGGAAAATGGTCAAATAGGTCTCGAACTTACATAAAAAGGTCAAATAAACCCTTATATAGGAGGCTCTGTCCGGCCGTTGCCGGTGGAATTTTTTTATGAAATCTTTTGAGCATCTTATTCATTAAGTTTAGTTTACTTATACCAAATTTCAACTAACAATTCAATCGGAAGGACATTCAAATGAATTCTTGAAGATAACTGCGCTTTTAACTGCGTAGTTATCAATCTCATAACTTTACTATTTTTAAAAATCTCATTGCTCTCCTTTGTACTAACCAGAGGAAGGGCGGTAGTAACAACTTTTTATAATTCATTTCGCCTCTCCTATCGATCAGGTGACACATATCGATATTACATTTTCACCGTATTTTAGGGAGTGTTTGGAACTGATTTTGCTTCTGCTTTTCTTTTTAAAGTAGAAGCAAATCAGTTTTTAGAAGCTGGTGATCCCCAGCTTCTAAAAAACTACTTTTACACTTTCACCCAAACACCCCATCTTATGCTTTTACTCCTTGAAGGAGCAGAATCAGTTTTAACAATCAGATTCAAACACCCACTTAGTCATATTTAATTCATTCCCTCTATTGTTATTGAAGTTTAAAGACGATTGTTTTTAAACACTCCTAACTATACACCGGGCTACCTTATGTTTATTTTGAACATGTACTTCTAACTGTATTTTTCTCCAAACGTACTTCTAGCTAACATCTCTTGATGTTTCCTATGAGATTCAACTTTCTCCAACTTGAACCTCTCATAGCAATCAGCAATGAATGCCTCTGCTATCCGATCAATGTCAGCATCACCGCCCACCTCCTCCTCCACCTCCCCATCAAGCCAGTCAAGGTATCCCGACAGCCCGGCCGGAGACTCATCATCATTAGAACAACGGCTAACACGGACCGACGATGGCATCGGAGGAGGAGCGGGAACGTGATCAGAGGAGGAGCACCAGCTGTAGAGTGGCCTAATAAAGGAGCTGAGCTTCAACGCCTTTTTGTGGAGCTGGTCGTTGTTGAAGGCCGCCTTCATGCTATTATTATTATTACTCTTCTTGACAATGAGGATGGCCATCCGTTGCTTCACGGCGGCGAGATGTTTGAGGATGCGGTGTCTGAGAATGGACTTTGCTCTGTGAAGAGATCCTGCAGTGCGGTAGAGGTGGGAGTAGAGTCCTGCTAGGATTAGGGTTTTCAGTAAGGTTGTTGATGATGGATATGGAGGAGGGTGAGTAGGAGAGGGGCCACCCATTCTCCTTTTCATTTTCTTTTCAGTCTTCATTATCTTCACTTTGTCTAGCTCTTTCCTATTTTGCACACAAATACATATAGATATATTGGGGATGGGGGGTTGGAATTGAAAGGCTTATTAACCACTTCTCATATTAACAGCCCTACCATCTGGCCTGTTTGGTTGGAGAAAGAATACTTACCGGGGGGAATGAAATCCTAATTTTGTTGAAAGGGAATATCTGTCGAATAAATTGTGGATTTTTATTTTATACCTACATTAAAGGCTAGGTGGTAAAAATACCACTTAAGATGCATGCTATATGATCAGACCCTACTAGTCCTATTTGGATCCAAGTGTTATAAAACGGGATATTTTTTCATATATCTCCAACTTGTCCGTTTAACCATATAATAAGTGCTCTGAATAATACTAAAAGTTAAGGGAAAGTTCCCGAAATAGGACTAAAACAGTTTGAAAATTACAAAATAGAACTGCCATGTTTTTTATTCTCAAAATATGAGTAATTACTGTCAAGTTTGGAAAATACTGCCATGTTTGAAGTCTGGTACTGCCAAAACATGGGAGTAATTAGTCTCATTTTGGGAATAAAAACATGTCAGTCCTATTTTGGAATTTTCAAACCTTTTTAGTCCTATTTCGGATAATATTCTCTAGTTAATCAAAGTGTACCAATAAAGTTTAAAAGAACATTATTGATTTTATTAATAAAATATGTTTTAAATATATTTATTTTAGGGAAAACTGTCAAATAGGTCATCGAACTTTCATAAAAAGATCAAATAAGTCCTTATATAGGAGGTTCCGTCCGGCCGTCGCGATTTGGAGCGGTTCCCGATGGAATTTTTTGATGAAAATTTTGGAGCATCTTATTCATCAAGTCTAGTTTACTCATACAAAATTTCAGCTAAAACTTCAATCGGGAACGCATTCAAATTAATTCTTGAAGATAACAGTGCAGTTAAATGAGCAGTTATCTTCAAGAATTAATTTGAATGCGTTCATGATTGACGTTTTAGCTGAAATTTGGTATGAGTGAACTAAGCTTGATGACTAAGATGCTAAACAAAATTCATCAAAAAATCCCACCGGGAACCGCCCCAAATCGCGACGTCCGGACAGAACCTCCTATATAAGGACTTATTTGACTTTTTTATGAAAGTTCAATGACCTATTTGACAATTTTCATTTTATTTTATGATTTTACAAACTCAAAATTTAAGTTACAAAGTTAGTCTATTTTATTGTGACTCGAACTCTCGAAGCATATAATATGAAAAATTAAAGAAGCTGAAGAATCGTCGGCCCAGCCCCCAGGTATTAAAAAATGTTCAAAAGGTGATTTGCAATTTTGCATCACTCATGTAGAGATTCACTAAAATTTGCAAATTAAGCACATATAGTAATATAATATAATAACAGCCTCCCCTACCCAATTCCTTCCCAGCACCTTCAGCCTCTTGATGAGAAAGAATTTAGTGCTCTAGTTAAAATATACGTACTCCTATATTCTATTCAAGAAGCAGATATATCTTACAAGGATATGGGGTCGAATTGGATTCCATTAATCTATTTCTTATCGTTGAAAGTTGCACTTTGTTATTATTCACTGATAACCACAATTCACTATCTGTATCAAAACTTTATTATATTTAAATTCACATTTTATAGGACCAAAATTACTAAATTCACATTAAGTTCACTCTCAACACACCTTCCTCCCACCTAGTTTTGGTCCCATCTTCCACTTCACTAGGATATTCACAACTCTCCTTACATGTAAAGACCTTTTTGATCCAATAGAGGTGAAGGATATTAATCGTGACCATAGTCAATGGAATGGAAGAACATTAATTAATAGAAAAATTATTGTCAAATCCGACAATGGATTGACCATAGTGCCTAGCTTCCACCACGTTGCACATGAAGCCGACGCTTATTTTGAGACTTTGTATACCCGAACCGAACCTACCCATTAAATGGAACCGACGGTTCTTAAAAATTTACGAGTATCAATTATCCGGACCGATCCAAACCATGCCCACCCCTAATTCACGTCGTTGATGAAAAATCTACCCATATTACTAAAAGGACCACATAGTTCACTCAAACTAGGCAAAACAATAGTGTGTTATGGGTAGCATTATCAAATAAAAAGCAAACACTTTGTTTGTCAAATTAAATTTAGTGAAAGTTCGCTCCATTAAAATAAAAATGTTGTCACCAATGTAATTGTCATTGAATTCTCTAAACGCAACAATCCCCATATGTCACTAAAAATAGTAACATGATCGGGAAAATAAGGGATAAGATTAATAAATTTTCCATTACCATAAATAATTTCACAACCAAATACTAATATACCAACCCATATGAAGTATATAAAATCTAAGTTTAGTCCTATAACGTTACTTTCTAATGTGTGTGTGAGTGTATAATTATTATATATATAAATGCTAATGTGGTATCAAAACTAAAAACTCTAGCATGAAACTTATTTGGTAACAAAAAAGTAAAAGAATTTCAAAATTCATCCACTCCAACATGTTGTTAAGTTATTCCAATCGACTATACCAAATAGATAGTATAAATATACAAACTCAGACTACTTATATTATATGGTTGACTTTTTATGACAAGGCCATAAGGGTTTTGACTATGTATGGTTTTGACCAATATTGGTACATAAATCACAGTTGAATAATGTATTCCGAACACAAAGGAGCAGTGCTGACCAAAATTAAATGCGTGTAACGAACCACAACACAACCTTCCACTGAGGAAACCCTCTATGTGCTATATAAATAAGCCTATCACCATCAAACTCTATCTCCAGTAGTACAGCCATCTTTACACACATGGTTGTCGCCCTTCTTGTTGTTCTTGCTGGCTTCATCTAAAGCAAATGTTTACATGCTGTACTGATCTGTATAAAGAATTTGTAAGAAACGAGCATATATCAGTTGATTCATCATATATGTGCAAGTTGAAGGCACACAATAATGCATCACTCTATACCAATCAACAGCTCTTACAGTTCACACCAGCTGATACAACTGCCTAACTACACACAGCTGATACTTGCATAACACATCCAATGGCAAGCTATTACAGGTTTCCAGCATATAATTCTGGATACACACTCCCATAACTCACAAAATGGTTCCTAAATTATACTGATGATGCTATGATATCATATCCAGAGTTAATTACAAATACTACCCCCGTCCCTAACATTGATACAAGAGGATGTGATGTGATCACAAAAATGAGTTTATGTGATTAATATTGAATTGATAAAGTGAAAATAAAGTAAGAATGATTTTGAACCACATAAACATTACCAAATTTGGTATGGAACAATCTTAATGGGACGAACTAAAAAGGGAAGATGGGACAATCTTAATGGGACTGACTAAAAATAAAAGATGGGACAACCTTAGCGGGATAGAAGGAGTAACGAACATAGAAACCAAAATGATATGAGATAGCTGATATGTTTATGTGACTATGTCCCACAATACAAGGATTCATATTGTAAAATCAAAACGAAAAATCAGGAACATGACCATAATACACAAAAAACATAAATGTAAGTGTTCCAAAATGGGAATTTAGTAACAAGTTAACATCTTACAAAAATAGGATATCCAACGCCTTTCAAAAAAAATATTCAAAAGTAATTAAAATAAATAAAAAAGAATATCGGTTCAGTAATAAATGAAAATATTAGATATTTTGGAACAAGAAATATATTAGCTTTTTGGCATTCGCATTCCATTTCTGCCTAGTTGTGGAGGGGGGATTGTTGGACCCAAATTTATCCTAATACAATTTATTCCTTTCCTTCTCATTTTTTTCACTACCAAACAATGGAAACACCTACTGTCTTTTGATTCTTTTCTACTTATTTCCTCACTGCCCTTCCATTTTCATATCAAACACACAGTTAGTCTCATATCCGCTAAATTAATTAAATCACTATACTTTTTCTGTCAAAGTAAGGTGTGTAATCACTATACTTTTCGTATGGAGGATTGATCTCATTTCATCTTTTTTCATCTTCTGTGTTTTGTTTCTTTTTTATCTTTCTTAGAGCCTGTTTGGCAACCCAGTTTTTTGGCTTATCGGGCTTATTGGCCAGCTTTTTCACCAAACACGCAACTTTTGCTTTCGCGCGCTGAATTGTGTAATAAGCAAAAAAAAGTAAGGTTGGAGTTACTTTTCTGGCTGTATTGGCTGAAGTTAATGTAGATGACTATTTTAGCTATTGTTACATATAATTTTTTCTTTATTTTATTAATAAAATATATTTTTAAAATATTTTTTTCTTAAATCAGCAGAATCAACCAATGCAGCCACTTCAGCCAGAGTTTCATAAATTTCAGCAGAATCAGCCAAAACAGCCGATTTTCGTGCTACCAAACGGGCTCTTATACTCTATCTTTTTTGTCTTACCTTTTTATCCTTTTATCTTATCATTTTTATCTTTATCTTATCTTTTTAACTTATCTTTTTTTCTTTTTTATGTTTTATCCTTTTTAGCTCCGATTTCATATGTCTACTCATGTTAGCGGATCCAAACTCTTTTGGGACTAAGGCTTGAATGTTGTTCTTGTTGATGTAAGGTGTGTGTAATCAATGCTCAGAATAGTTCCCAAAGTAAACGAATAAATCAGTTCAAGAAGGCAACCTAACAAGAAATATTCAAAACAAATACTCAAGAAATGATCCCAAAGAGAAAATACCAAATTGTCGCAGCATCTCCATCTAGGCTTGTCAGACTGGGATTCTGTCAACTGCGTGATTCAAGGTGTGAGAAATATGGAATTGAAACCCTCATATTTCAGCAAATCAGACTTTCCCTGTAAACGGTGCATCTCACGTCTCTTCAAAGTTCAAATGATTCTCAAAATTACTGCAGTTGAATACCTTTCTTCAAATCTTCCCAAACGTCATGTCCTCCAGGATGTTGATTTACATACCTACTCACAAATGATTTCTCAGAAGAAGAAACAATAGTTTTCAAGGCCAAGTTTGGATCTACTCTCCCTTGATCTTTCAGCCAATTATACATAAACACCCTGAGTTTGGTTCTCTGAGTGTTGAATGCAATGTATGATTCTCAAAATTACTGCAGTTGAATACCTTTCTTTAAATCTTCCCAAACGTCATGTCCTCCAGGATGTTGATTTACATACCTACTCACAAATGATTTCTCAGAAGAAGCAACAATAGTTTTCAAGGCCAAGTTTGGATCTACTCTCCCTTGATCTTTCAGCCAATTATACATAAACACCCTGAGTTTGGTTCTCTGAGTGTTGAATGCAATGTATGATGGAAACGAAACTAAACTACATAGCGGATATCCCAAGATGTTCACAAGAAAATCAATCTTTTCTTCAATCACCTCTTTCGTTTGGTTTAGAATATTGGGATAACCTTTGATCATTGTGGACACATCCTTTGGATCCAAACCGGCATTGACCAAACAGTCAAACCTCTCTTGAAGCTCCAATCCTTTGCCTCGAAGAGATTTAAGAACTTCCATTTCACCTCCGTTTTCAAGAAAGCCCAAACTCAAAAGAAATTTAATTTTCATGTCTTTCGATTTTTTTATCTCTCCTGTTGTTGGGAAAGGCTCGACTCTTTTTCCTAAAACCCATTTCTTCAAAACATGTGGGTCCTCTAAGATCGTTTTACAGAGCCTCTTCTTCCCAGTATTTAAAGTACGGAGCAAGCTATCTACTTTCTTTAAAGAACATGAACCCAGAACCAAAGGGTGTGAACTAAAAACATTCTCAATCTGATGTGAAGGCATTTCAATATCAATAAGAATCTGGTAACAGTTCCTTAAGTTCTTAAGAAACATTCCAGTTTGAATTGGTGGGAAATGAGAAAAAATACAGTATATATTATTCTGAGTGCATCCAAATTTCCACAAGAACCCCATAATTGAAAATACATTACGTCCTGAGCCCCCAAATAAAATATCAGGATTATTAATTATGACTTTACCCAGTTTCTCCTCATTGAAACCCAACTTCCTGAACAAGAGCAAGGCTTCAGATAAATATCCCCACTCATAAGAGTTTTCTTTCAATAATTGCGGAAAAATCCAGTCTTGATCAATTCCCAAACACTTCAACTTCTCCAAAAACCTAAAGAACTCCTTATCTGCATTCCCCTCCAAAAGGCGTGGATTTGAATGAATTAGCTTAACTAGACTGAGTTGGTCAAACCCAACCTTGCCAAACGCCTTCAGCTTTGATTCCAATACTCCTTGACAATACCTGAAGATCTTGGGGACTTCTTTGTAAATTTCTCCAATCTTATTCCGTGCAAAACCACGACTGCAGAGTACACGATAGTTGTGAATCAAAACTTGATCATCACTCAAGAATATCAATTTTGATGGGAGAAACATAGAGTACTCAGAAGGGTTCAACCCCATACTCTCAAAGAAGGGCTCAAACTCATTAATGGGATGGTATCTCAAATACCTGGATATAGACCCTGCACTACGACTATCATTATTCACCATTTTCACCAAGTTATTAAGAAAATGCGGGGAGTTTCCACTTATGTGTTGGGCATCCGGATATTGCAATCCTCTGGTGGAATGCAGGTAGTCTAACAGAGAGGACTGGGCTTCTCTCTTCACAGTCTCGGGAAATAGGAATATTTTCTCCCATATTTCCCGAGATTTCCTTTTCGTGCGATAAAACCTATACTTCTGATAGGTGTGGATTGAACCATTAGTACGAAACTTGGCTCTTGATGATCTAAAGCTATTATCACAATGGCTTACAGAAGCACATTTGAAGATAGATGGAATTATCTGCTTCCGCAAATGGTCCATGACTATGTTTATTTCATGGTGTAGGATAGCACTTAACGGACAGCAAAAACACTTGAGTTTTCTTTTAGTCCACAACAGCTAAGACCATAAGGTTAACATGATACCTTGACTACCGCGGTCGTGGATTCTGGACGAACGGAGCGGGTCTCCGGCAGTCGACGGCGGTGCTTGCCATGTTTGTAAGAATTGCAAGGGCATGAAGAATTCACTGGATTTTTAGGCCTTCTGGGTGCGAAATAAAGGGCCTTCCTCCTACGAGAGGAGCATTATTTTTCTCCCCATTATTTGATCCAATTGAGTTAGAATATTTGGGTTTCAGAAGATGAGATAATTTGAGCCATCTTCATTTGAGGTGGTACTCGAAATTGCAAAAAAGGGTCAAATAAATTCTTATATAAGAGGTTCTGTTAAGCCATCGTCATTTGAGGTGGTTCCCGATAGATTTTTTTGACGAATTTTTTTGAGCATCTTATTCATTAAGTCTAGTTTACTCATACCGAGTTTCAACTAAAAATTCAACCGGGAAGGCATCCAAATGAATTCTTGAAGATAACTACGCAGTTAAAAGCGCAGTTATCTTCAAGAATTCATTTGAATGTCTCCCCTATTGAAATTTTAGCTGAAATTTGGTATGAGTAACTAGACTTAATGAATAAGATGCTCAAAAAATTTCATCAAAAAATTCCGTCGGGAACCGTCCCAAATGGTGACGGCTGGACAGTAAGGACTTATTTGACCCTTTTTATGCAACTTCAAGTATCAATCTGACTCTTACCTCATTTAGTATTTGATATCAATTTATAAAATATGATATCAAGTTAAAAATATTATGTTAAAATGATATTAAGTTAAAAATAATTATTGTATGCTTTATATCACGGAGCGCGGGCGGGCTTGGAATTTTTTGGGTAAGGCCCGGGACCGGACCGGGAGTCTACCGGCCCGAGCCGATTCTTTTAATTTTTAATTTTTAGCTTTTCTTACTTATTCCAACCCCCCGAAACCCCGCCAAAACACCCAACCCAGCCCACCTACTATAGGTCCAAACCCAAAAAACCAAAAAAGGCCCGGACCGGCCGATCCCTATTTCCCCAATTTTGGAACCGCCCCCTTAAATTCCCCCGGGCCGGTCCTAGGCCCGGAACCGGTCCCGGTCAACTGGCTGGGCCGGTCCCGCACAGTGGTGGTCCGGTCCAGTTCCCGGGCCGGTGAATCGGGTCACCCTACCTCAAACGAGAAGTGGTGTATTTCGTATAATTTCTACGGTTCTTATTCTTTTGTTAATTTTGATAGTTATATTAGAGGTAGTTGTTTCTCATAGTAATGATTAAGATTTCTCGGTGTCGTTATGTAGTTATTTATCTATGACTAGTGGTATTCCTCTAACCCTAAATTTGTTCTCCTCAAAGGTCATCATGCTCCTCAATCTATTTATGGTTCCATTGTTAGATCTCCCCCTCCGGAACCACCACCATCACCACTGGACATAGGGCTGGAACTGTGGAAGTAGGTGGAAGTGTGAAGAATCAAGAATAAATGGCATTAGTGTTTATTCAACGAGACAAATCTACTTGTCGAGATGAAACCGACGAGGGCGCAACATGACTGGACATTGATGACTCGTTGCTATATTTTATTATAAATGTCGTCTTTTATAATTTTAGTAGTTACATTTGATTCAATTCTCTAGTTTACTTTTTATTTATTCTAAATGGTGGCAATAGTTCTAAGTTAATATTTTACTCATTTTTGGTTCTCTTTTACTCCATCCGTCCCACTAACAATGGGTCAAGAGGGAGTGACACGCAAATAAATAAAAAGTGGTTTGTGTTGTTGATATTGAATTGATAAAGTAAAAATAAATTAGAGTTACACAAACTTTACCAAATTTGGTATGAGACCATTTTAATGGAACGGACCGAAAATGTAAAATGAGTCAATCTTAGCGGGACAGAGAGAAATACATTTAAAAATGTATTTGATTGAATACCTATAATCATCAAAATAGTTAACACTCAACCCAAATACGATCTTTAAAATATGGGATACACCATGTTTTCCTGAAAAATGATAAAGTGAACAGTATATGAAGGGTAGATGTGGAAAAACCCAATACGCCTAGATTTCCCAAATGGGTGATATAAAGGGACAATGAAATTGGATCAATCCAAACAAATAAATGTAAAAAAGTGACAGTACTAGTTGTCGTTGAAGTGTGGGCAATCTTGGAGAGTTCCTATGTGAAAACGTTGCAACTAGGGCTGGACTCGAGCCGGTTCGGGCCTGGGCCCGGCCGGGCCTCGGGCCAAAAAACTGGGGCCCGGGCCCGAACCGCCGGTAGCCGGTTCCGGCCAAACCGGGCCGGGCCGGGCCAAACCAGTCCATTTTTTTTTGTTCTCCTATTTAACCCCCTACCCCTCAACCCCAAACCACCTCAAATGGCCCAAAATACCTAATCCAACCCAAAACTTAAAAAAAAATCAAAAAAAAAAAAATTAAAATCCGGCCCGGACCGGCCGGGCCGGTTCGCCTAAAGCAGGGCCCATCACCCGGACCGCCCATCACCCGGGCCGGGCCAAACCGAACCGCTGGACCCACCGGGCCCCGGGCCGGGCCAAACAGTAACCGGGCCGGGCCGGTTCCGGGTCGGGCCGCCCGGCCCGAGTCCACCCCTAGTTGCAACAGATGTTTAACCAGCGAGGGAAGACACCTACTTGATTAACGGCATGGAGCACACCCTCATCGTGATCTTAGGCGACATATTGTTTCGAACTTTTTGCATTACGATCCTTTGCATATTTATGTAATAAATGGTCAATTTATGGTGACTTGAAAGGCTTCAAAGAGGGGACCTATTTATTATCGGGGTGAAGTTACTTTTGTGGGGTAAACTCACTTTTAAGTTTTGACTTAATCCCGCTCATGCCAATCCCACTATCCCAGTATCATGCTCATATTGGGGGACCTATAGCACAATCCACAAATTGTGCATGCCATTAGGGAACAACGATTCTATCTGATTGTAGAAAATACTATCTTCTTGGGGTTTTGGGATTCATTCCTGTTCTTTTAACACGATTTGCCATTGGCTTAATATAGAATTTTTCCGTTCAAAGAAAAGCCATAAAACAAGTACTTTTATGGTATAAACAAGACTGTTAGAACAGAAATATCTTTAAAACAAGCATTTATACCGAGTGCACGCAATATTTTGGACTTCACGCATCAGAAATTGCATAGAAAGATTACAATACTACTATAGTACTAAAGAAACTCATTCATTATGAAGTGTCTTTAAATGTTAGGGATGTAATTACTACAGATAGGTGTGTTGAAAGAAAGCTCTAATATCTCTTGATCTCTTCTGAATTGGTCAAGATATTACTTACACTTGCACCTTACCATGACCCAAGAACTCTAAATAGAAGCAATGATGAAGAGTAATGAAAAAAATATACTTCTATGTTGGAAATCTAAAACAAAGTGCAACAAAACATCATTTGCAAATTTAATATCAGCCATCGAGACCCGTCTAATTCTCTGATGATCTAGTCCTCCTCTAAAGAACTGCCCAACTAAATCCAACTATTTAAGGAAAATACACTATTTTGACATGTTTTTATAAAACAAGACACCTATAAGAAGACAAATATTAATGGCACTAGATTTCTTACTATTATCGTCTTCGGTTATTGGGTTGGCATGTAGTAGGGCGGATAAGGAGGAGGTTGCATGGGATAGGATGGCTGTGGAACCATATATGTGCCACTGTGGTATGCGTAACCGCTGAGATGAGTTTCAGATCCATATGGTGGTTTCTGTTGAACATGTGAGTGGTAACCGGGTGGTGTTGTCGGAAATGGGGTTGTAACTAATGCTGCAGAAGTCTGTACTTGAGCAGTGAACTTGCCTTTGTAATTGTCAGCAAGTTTGACCGTAACATTCCTTCCCTGCAACCATTTTGCAAAAGCTGAAATAAATCCTAGGATGTGCATGCATAAGTGTGCTGCCCTTATAAACTACTCTTATAAGAATCCCAAACTAGCCTTTGACTAGTCTCCACCTACACCCTAAGCTCCGCCTGTGCACCTATGGTTTTTCCGGGCTCCATAACACTGACTAATCACTAGCTACGGTGCCACGTTGAACAGCAAAACTGCTAAACGGCTAAACCAAAACGAACTGACTGGCAAAATAATTTAAACCTAACCCACGAAAACCAATATAATCATAGGTGATTCAGTCTGCAGTTTTAGGCTTAGGCTTTGAAAACTGGCCCAAATCCGACAAAAAATGACCTGACGGAAACGCGGTGTTTGGTTTTTGGTTTTGCATTTTATAAAACCGATTCAACCTAAATCAATGTGCACCATCTGATGACAACACCTACTCAGTACTAGGCCACAGCTACAGCCTAGTCTGTCTCGCGCTATTTACAACATTAATGTTCGTGATTCATACCAATGCAATTGTTTTGGAAGTGCCTAAGGTTGCAAAAACTGCTAAGCGGGCCCAGGGTAGAGGACCACTCTAGGAGTGTAAAAAAAACGACCCGCAATGACCCGCCCTGGCCCGAGACATTTGGGGCGGGTCCGGCCCGCCCCGTCTTGCAAATGGGGCGGGTCCGCCCCGCCCCCGCCTAATGGGGTAGGTCCGGGCATTAGTATTGACCCGTGCCGACCCGCCCCAACCCGCTCAATATACAAGTATAAATATTTTTTCTTAAATTATGCTACAAATATACTTCAACATACATGTGTGTGTATACAATAATCATAATTTTTTGTGATCTGATAATCATTTTCATTTTCATTTACCCCAGTGCCGCAAAGGCTCCCACCTACGGTGGGGAAAGGGGGGGTCGGATGTACGCAGTCTTACCCCCGTGATCTTATAATATATTAATATATATATTAGAATGAGATGAACGACGGATTATCAATGTCTTCTTTATATATAGCATTTTAATACATATATTCAATTATTAATATAATTAAATAGATTAACTATTCAAGTCTGAGTAAATTTTCCTTAATTTTTGAAATTCTTAGCGTATCATGAATTTGATTTAATATATAAATTTTTAATTATTATTTAGAGAAAAACTTTATGTAGATTCAATGGGTAACAACTTCCCACAAATAAAAATACATACTAGCATATTTGGTTAAGACGGAGCGGGGCGGACCCGCCCCGCATGGGGCGGGTCATGGGTCAACAAGTTTGGACCCGTGCAGGTCACGGGACGGGTCCGGGTCTTGCGGTACCCGCCCCACCCCGACCCATTGCCATGCCTAGACCACTCCACTACCT